AACTACACAGCTAACAGCTTACTGCGACTCTGACTGGGGGGCATGTCTTGAAACAAGAAAATCAGTTACAGGGTATTTAGTGAAGTTTGGAGGAGGATTAATATCATGGAAGTCTAAGAAGCAAGGGACTGTGTCAAGAAGCTCAGCTGAGGTAGAATTCAGGAGCATGGCCACATGTGCAGCTGAAATAACCTGGTTGATAGGCTTATACAAAGAGTTGGGAGTCAATATAACAGTACCAGTAAAAATGGTATGTGATAGCAAAGCAGCAATACAAATAACAGCTAATCCTATCTTTCATGAGCGTACAAAACACATAGACATAGACTGTCACTTTGTAAGAGAAAGAATTTGTCAAGGAATGCTGGAGACAGAATATATTAACACCAAGCATCAACTTGCTGATCTACTCACAAAGAGTCTTGGACAAGGACAACATCATCTACTACTAAGCAATCTTGGAATGAAAAATATATTTCAACCATAAGCTTGAGGGGGAGTGTTAGCAAATGCAGAAATAACAAAGCTTATGTTAGTTAGAAGATTCCAAGAGTTAGTTACTAGCTGATGACATGGCAATAGTTAGTTACAAAGTTTATTAGAGATATTTTGTATTCATTCATAGTAAGAGTAGTATATATAAGCATGTATGTACAGATTCACTGAATCAAGACATTAATACAATCTTCTTCCTTCTTCTTCTCTCAAATGCTCTGTGAATTCTCCAAGGCTTAATCTCCATTCATGGAGTTATCATTAAGATTCCTTTATCAATAGAATCTTTTGCATTCACAAATTCCGTCATTCCCATCGATGTCCCGCCCAAGAGAGACCCAAGTCCTAGTAGCCCCGCCAAATGGTGATGCAATATAGATTCTCTTTCAGTCACTACTACATGTATTGCACCTATAGTGACAGAGAGTTTGATAGGACTCTTGGATAAGAAATATCATTCTAGTAGGGCAAACCCAATAACAAAAACTTTAAGCCAATCAAACATGGAAAATATTTGAATTTTTTTTAAAAAAATGGGAAGGGTTGGGGTACGAGGTAGGGTAAGAAAAATATATTTTAATTTAAGGTTGTAGTAGAGTTTTGGAAAATGTTTTTCCTTAAGTTTTTAAGGGAAGTCATTTTCCTTAAATTTGAGAAAAACAAGTTGATTTGAAAAATATTTCCCAAAACTTTAAGCCAAACATGGGAAAATTGAAAAATATTTTCCTTCATACCAAACACACCCTAAGTTTAGAGTAAGTTCTAGCAAGGTTTGTGGTGGAGGAGTAACTACTTCTTCATTTTTAACTAGAGATTTTCGATACAGAGTTGAAAAAAAAAGGTTCTAACGTGTACTAAGAATTGTTGATGTGTTATTCCTATTTTGGAAAAGGGTACAAAATACCTTTAACTATGTGAAATTGAATAAAAAAATGCCCCAAGTTAATAATTGGTCCAAAAATATCCTTTTCCAAATAAATATATTAGTATTTTTTTTTCTTTTTAAACATATCCTATTCCTAATAAAGATATTACTATTAAAGAACCCAATTTTTGTTTCTTTTCCTTTAAAATCACATTTTTTTCTGATTTCATTTTGATAGTTAAAATAGAATAACTTCATGTTCCTTTTTAACTGATAATATAGGTCATATATATAAGATATAATAACTCCATCACTAATTTTCATTTAGATAATGATAAAAATTATGCTAATAAAATAGAAGATATTTATATCTTAATCTTTTCCAAATTGAAGTAGATAAACATTTTCTAATAAAAAAACAATCATCATTAGAAAAAGAATGTGCTTATAAGAAAATTTATTTCAAAAAAGGATATTTTTGACCCATTAAGTAACATAACTATTGACGACAAAAACATTTTTAGACCAAACTATTAACTGATAACATTTTTGTTCAATTTCACATAGTTTAAATCCATGTATCTTTTTAACTGATAATACATGTCATATATATATAAGATCATAGAAACCTCATTAATATTCAAATAAAATAGAAAATACTTTTATATCTTAACATTTTCCAAGTTGAAGTAGGATCAACGTTTTCTAATTAAAACTTTCGTCATCAGGAAAATATATTTTTTTAAAAAGAAGTAATATATTTTTTTGAAAAAAGGACATTTTTGACCTATTAAGTAAAATTGGAGATATTTTTGACCAAATATTAATGGCAAAGGAATTTTGAGACCAAATTATTAACTGATGACATTTTTATTCAATTTCACATAATTGAAGAACAATTTTGATCTTTTTCTGTTCCTATTTTACAAAGGGGAAAAGGAGTTGAGAACCTATAGTTAAGTGGGGACGACATACCACCAAATTCACATATTTCTATTGGAAAAATTCAACTTTCACCAACTGAGCTAAAAATCTATAGTTGCCGAATTCGATCAAGAAAAAAATTTAATTAAAACTCACTAATAGTTGGGGCCAGGTAATTCACTGTTCAGATAGAGGTATCAAATGGAGAGGTTGAATTGAATTAGGATAGGGTTAAACTGAGATGAATTAATAAATGAACGGGTCAATATCTATATGAACCAAATGAATTGAGTTAAAATAAACTAAAATGCAGGTCATAACCTGTTACTAATTAAATTTCTTCCCTATGTACTTTGGATATTCTATTAGGTCACAAGTGTTTGTGTTACCTAAGAAGATAGTGAAATTGATTGAAGCTAGTTTTCTATGGACAGTTGGTGCTGAGCTGAGCAAGAAAGCTTTAATAACTATATATGGATTTTCATTGCGAGACTGGCAGCTTATAGTCGACTGACTATATTTAACTATATATGGATTTTCATTGCTGAAAAAATAGAAAAGTTGTTAGTTAGTTTGCCATAGAACCATTCTAGAGATGATACTTCTCATAACATACATACATGCAAAACTTGAAAACAATTGTAGGAAAAACTATTTAAGACTAAGGTAATTAGGGTGATGTAAATTTTAACAGCCTATTTGGTTAGTCCTGTCGAACTCCCTCTATCTATCAATTTCAGTTGTCTTTAGAACGACCAAATGAAGCTAATAGACAAGCAAAGAAAAAATCCACAAAATTTCTTGCTTGTTTAATTTCTGCAAGATTTTGATGCTGACCTTCCACCTTAAGCCTCAAAGCTTCATAATTAACTTCTTCCATCAAGTTTTACAGCATCTGGAAGCTCATCAAGCCACTGGCTCACAGATTGATTTGACTCCTGCTTATTCTCTACATCACTCACCACAGCTTGAAGACCACGCAAAGTGACTTTCAGCTTCTTTAAGATCCGAACATCATTCTTACGCTTCTGAAACATCTTGAGCAGCTCACCCTGAGGTGCAATCCTATCAAAGAAAACTTGCAGGCCTGAAGAGAGAAATGCACCACCAACTAATATCCATTTCTGAAATCTGAAAAGCAAAACAAGGAAACACAAAATGATTTTGAGAAGATAAAATCTATCTTTAATTACTAAAGAATGATCAGTTTTCGTCGACATGTTGTAGCTACCAATTGACAAACTTTAGTTTTCATCGTCATGTTGTGGCACAATTATAAATATGTGAAAACATTGAAGGATAGTGAAAATACAATGTATCCTGCATCGATTCACTTAAAAAGATTTTCTATAGTGACATCAGATCTTCGTTCTACAATTAAGTAAAGTTTCATTCTTGACATGGGATGGTTGATGCTTACAAGAACTAAATACTTTCGATTAAACATGGTTGCACAAGCTACATATGATGTCTTTCGCAATTGGGATGTGAAATTGCAACGTGATAAGAGCATAAATCAATAGCAATGAGAAACCAATCCAATACCTGCCATCCAAGAAATATGCAATTAAACAACGCGCGACAATTAGTTGCAAGTCTGTAACATCTAATTGACTAGAACAGATTTTATCCCTGTAATAAGATAAAATATTAAAAATGTGAGCTACAGTTAAACAACCTTCAAGTATATTTACTTTTATTGCAAATGAATATTCAAAATGTTTCACTATTTCTCCGACGACATTCATTATTTTAGAAAGAACAAGAAAAATATGAAGAAGATTTGTCAATACCTTACATTCTTTTGGATTTATGGGTGAGTTCTCAGGTATGGCATCCCATACATCTCTGAACATCCTTTTTTCACCTTATCTACTGATTCAAAGCTTCCGAATACAACCCCTTGATTGCTTTTCAAGTTATGCTGGAAGACTAGATTCATATGCTAGAGAGTTCCACAGATTCTTGAGCATGTATCTCTTCCAGAATCAAATTTGGATCAGTGAGTTGAAGATTATCAAATCAAAAACGTCTTACAAATTTGTTCAAATAACTCACCAGACAACAGCAAGGAATATCGATTAAGAATGTCAGCATCATTCAACTTTTCTTGTAGATTTGGCATTTTCTTCCTTCATTCTATTAAACTCTTCACCGTCTGGGATGTCAAACTGATCTTGCCGAGCCAGATTGCCATACACTTTAAATGATAACTTACCACTCTCTCAGAGACTTCTCTGCTACTACATATCTGCATAAGGAGTAAAATTATCTCAATTCCTACCTATACTAGATTTCTCTTACAATGTTTCAATGCAAATATAAAGATTTCATCCTGATCTAAAGATGCTTCCTCGACTTTACAGAGGCAATAGATGCTACATAATGGTCAAAAAGATAACAAAGAAAAATAATGAAGAAAGAAGCGTAGAGAAACCAAAAATCAAAGATATTAAAGAAATGGAATAACTTACACATATCGGAGTACCACTCGTTATAATCATTACAGGTTCTCCTAATCAACATTTATGGTGGAAATATCAACATGTTTTGGTCAGTAAGACGTTGTGTGAGCAATAGACGTTCCACACTGTTCAACAAGATTTAAAAAAAAGGAAAAGAATTAACAAAAAAGCAAGGGATAGTAAACAAAAATAAAAAACTTCTGAGGGAAAAGAATAACTTACATCTGTTGGAGAGCCATTCGTTTTAATCATCAGATGCATTCCTCATCTATCTCTATGCTGGGAATTTGAGAAATATTTGACCAGTATTTCCCCTTGTTAAATTCTAGTAGTGGTGTGAGCAATGGACAGTTGGAAATAACTAGTTTAGAGAGGGAAGAGGGCATCCCTTTTACCGGAAGCGATTGGAGGTTAGGGCAATCCTTGATGGTCAGCTCAGAGATGGAGGAGGGCAGTACTGATTCGGAAAGTGATTGTAGATTACGACAATTCCAGATGTCTAGACTTTGAAGCGAAGTGAGGTGCCAAAGACCTAGTGAATGGAGCTCATCATGGTTATTTAAATCCTCGAGAAACATGTTACAATAACTCATCTCATCAACTGGCGGATCCAATTTCAATTCACGGCAACCAGTTATCCTCATTCTCTTCAAGGTACTCGGCAGTATCCTAAAAGGTAAGGATGTAAGAGAGTTACAATTACCAATATATAATTCAACAATCTGCTTCATTTCCTCAAAAAGAGGTGTCTCTGAAATTCTCAATTCTGTCAGAGAACAAAGATTTTCGGGCAACTTCCCCATCAACTTCGGACAATTTTTAATCGAAAGCTTCTCAAGCATGGGGAACTCGCCAACTCCTAGAACATGCCATTGCTTCCACTCCCCCATATCTTCAAATTCAAGCTTCTCAAGAGAGTTAAAAGGCTTTTTGCAGGATGAACTGCCATAGAATTCTCCCGTCACCTCTATTATTCCATGCATCTTTCTGATGGAAAGGAATTTCAAAGAAGGGAGTTGTCCTAGTGCTGGCAAGGAATCACAGTCCTTGCAGTTGCAAAGAGATAATTCTACTAGCTTAAGAAACGAAGGATCAGCTAGCCAATCTGAAAATTTTGTCCCTCTATATCCAGTGATTTGGAGTTCTTTTATGTTTGTGTATGGGCATAGCCCATCAAGTATGGCTCTTTCAGTTTGTGAATTGTCCGCAGTACTACTTGCACTCCACTCCAAAGACAACTTCTCAACATTTTTCTTTCCCTTTATATTTGCCTTCAGAGCTTGCGTTTTATCAACCACATTTTGCAACTCTAGAATTGATAGAGATCCATACAAGTTATGTACTTCACCCAAATCTTCCATTCTCAAACCACCATGACCACCTAGAAGAAACTTGGCTCCCACCAACACATGGAGACATTTCAGCTTGCTCAGATGTAGCGACATCTTCAAGAGAGAAGAGTTGCTTATATCAAGGTGACACAAGTTGATCAACTTCTCCATCTGCGGCGGTAGCTCCCCAAGATTAACACAATGTGACAGGAGAAGTGTCTGCAAGTTATACAATACACAAACAGAATCTGGCAACTTCTCAATATGTGTCCAAGAAAGGTCCAAAAATTTGAGGAGCTTTAATTGGACAAACAAGTCATTTGACAACTCCTTAATCTTGTAATGAGACAATGATAATGCCCTTAAGCATGTCAGTCTTGGCAGTATGTTATGCAACACTCTCTTGCTTAGGTGAGATGAGCAACTGATATTGATTGGAAGCAATGTCCTCTTCTCAAAGTCACCATCTTGTTCCATCAGATAAGATCCTTCACTCTCTTCCAACCTCATACAAGGTCTTGAAGATCCAATAAGTTGGGCCATATCATTGACAAGGTCATGCATTAAGAATCTCTCTGGTTTCCATTTAGACTCTGGGGCCTTCTCAAATAATGATACTGATAATAACTCGTTAAAGTACATGTTACCTAACTGAAACTCCGATACAAGACCATTAGCAATCCACAGGTAAATAACTTGGTATTTGCAGAATTCATAACCTTTGGGATATATTGCACAAAAAGCAAAACATCGCTTCAAATACACATGAAGATCATTGTAGCTCAACATCAATGATGGTAATACATAATCCAAAAACCTTGGACGATTCCATATTTGACTTTTTAAAATGTACATCCACTCATCCACCTCTGATTTGAAGCGTAAAAGACCAGCAACTGTCCTTAGAGTTAAAGGCAACCCTTTGCAGTTCTCTGCAATTTTTTTCCCAACCTCTTCAAGTTCTGCTGGATGTTCCCAATAGTCTAGTGAATGTCGTTTGAATAAAGCCCAAGAGTCGTCACTAGGCAGAGGCCCCAAGGTGATTGCGCAAAGATCCATCTTCTCATCACACATCATCTGAGCAACACTCTGCTTCCGTGTCGTCACAATTATCTTGCTTCCCATATCTCCTTGTACAAAAAGATTTCTCAGGTCATACCATTCATTATAGTTTTCATTCCACACATCATCCAGAACAATAAGAAACTTCTTTCCCTTTAGGCTTTCCTTCAATTTGATTTGAAGCACATTAAGATTGCCATCAATCTTCCAGTCAAATGAGCCAATACATTGAAGTAACTGTTTCGTTATTCTCAAAGCATCATATGGCTCAGAAAAACAATACCAAGCTTTCAAACCAAAATGGCACTTCACCCTCTCATGATTGAAAACCATTTGAGTAAGTGTTGTCTTACCCACGCCGCCCATTCCAACAATAGGAACTACAGTCAGGTTTCTCCCACTTGGATCTTCAGACAATAAACTGTCAATCAAATCCTTTATTTCCTTGTGCCTACCAAAGACATCAGATTCAAAACCCAAAGCACATGAAAGTGTTCTACTTGGCTGTTGGTTTATCGAACCAAAATGATCCTCTAAACCAAGGCGGCCAATTTGTTTTCTCAGCACGTTCAATGTTTTAATGGTTTTTTTCAACTTCTTCTTTATTTTAAGAAAGAAATCATCGCTTACTTGCTGGTTGCTTGTTTCTGCAAGATCTTCCACCTTAAGCCTCAAAGCTTCATAATTGACTTCTTCTATCAAGTTTTCAGCAGATTCCACAGCATATCGAAGCTCATTAAGCCAACGTCTCACATAGTGATTTGATGCCTGCTTATTCTCTGCATAACTTAGCACAGCTTGAAGACCAAGCAAAGTCGATTTCAGCTTTAAGATCTGAGCATGATGCTTATGCTTCACAAACATCTCCATTTCTGAAAGCCTATCAACGAGAACATCCAAAGCTAAAGAGCGAGATGCACCACCAACTGCTAAGGCAACATCCATTTCTGAAATCTGCAAAGCACAAACACAAAATGATCTTTTAAGAATTCTGACAAGTTTAATTTTTCAATCTTCAATTACTAACAACTTTACTTTACCTGTTGAATACTAATAGTAATTTCCAAACAAGAATGATCACTGATTTTTTCTCTCTTTTGCTAGTGGTCTATGTTTGCTAGTATCTATTCATTACTTTCTCAGTTGAATAATTGAAGGTACTTGGGGGTGGGGTGTACTCATGTGTTTATGTGAGGTGTCAAGTGCATCCTATATATTTATTATTATAAGCAGGAAGCTACAAAGTAAAAAATTGAATTAGCATAATTATCTAATTAAATATAAATATTTTAATTACATAATGGTAAGTCCTTTAATAATTAAATTATTATTTCCTTGATAAATGAGTACATTAATATTGCTTTTAATCATAATCATAAATCTCAAAAAGGAAAATTTTGAAAAGTTATGATTGATATGTAATTAGAATTATTTTCTTCTTCTAAAATACTTACACTTTCCATCTAAATACACTCTATTGTTTAATATTAAAGTAAAGAATTTGAAGAGGTGTCATTAATTAAAAAAAAATACATACAAGTTTCATCTATAAAGATTCACATGTTTTAGATGACCATATTTCTACTAAGTTTATTCATCCTAACTTGGTTCTTCTTTGACAACAAGTTGGGTTAGGTAGGACCGTAGTGATTGAATAATTGATAATTTGTGAATGTGATGTTCCTTTTTAAAAATTATCACTGTTATTATAGTTACTTCATAAACCATCTCTTATTTATATATGAAATGAAAATCAATTCATGTGTGATTTGTAACTAAATACTCTTAATTCGGAAGAGGAAGAATTAAAGTAAAAAGAAGAAAAGACGCAATATTAAATATTACTAATGAATTTCGCATCTTCATTATATTGTATAGCTAAAATTTTCTTCTTTTTTTTTGTGAAATTTTAAAACTTATTAAAATAAACATACCTCTGCAAACGTTCTGCCGACCTAGGGTTCTGGTGGCTCCTACATAGGCAGTAGCTGTGCAGCTATCATGGCTGCTACGGCCACTGGACGGCTTCCTTTCGAGGTTGTCCAGCCCGCCCCACCACCCCAAATCACCACATACGCCACTCTTTTCAATTCCAATACTATAAATCCTAAACAATCTGTCCTAATTAACTCAAAAACAATCGTAAAATCAATCGAAATAATTCATGGAGAACCTACTATCACGTTTTCAATGGAGGAAAGGCAAGACTTTATGATCGAAGAAGGATTACATCAAGCAGTGGTGTTTAAATTATCCCATGGTGCGCTAGATTTGAACGTATTAAGGTCAATTTTACCAAAACATCTTGGTACCAAGGGAAAATTGTTTAATTGGCTTACTTGCTCCAAGACAAATCTTGTTAAGGTTTGATCAATATGAAGATTATGTAGTAGCTTTATCTCACTCAGTTAATTATCTTCTCTACAATGGAGAGGAGCACCAATGTAGGCTTTTTCCATGGTCCATTGGATATAACCCTAAGGAGGAAACAACGATAGCTGTGGTTTGGATTTCTTTACCGAACTTATCTCCAAATTTGTTTGCAAAGAAATTCCCATATCATGATTTTTGGAGAATATGGTATTCCATCATGAAATATAATCAGCGTGAAACTGCATGTCCAAACGTTATTCCATCCCACGATTCCATATTGTGATATGGTATCGCATGGTCAAACGCCTACTTAGGGCCCGTTTGGCTATGCGATATGGTATCATAATATGATAGCATAATATGAAATTATGAGATGAAATTGAAGTTTTGTTTGGGCATGTGATATGAAATTTTTGTGTTGTATATTTTCTCATAAACATAAGAATTTCATAAGTTGTAAAACTATTAAAATAGCCCCAATTTTTTATTTAATCTTACCAAATAAACAAAAAATTATAAAATCGCATAATTAATTATTACAAAGCTATTTATTCTCTACTTAAGTAACTGTTTCATCTAACTTTAATTCAATAAAAAAATTGAACATAAATTGCAGTGTACTAGTCTTTAATATAATTCTCCCACGTAGTATGAACAATTTCCTCATGTGACCGAGAAGACGTACCAACATTGTTACTTTGAGTTGTAATAAATACAAAACGGTAGAAGTAATAAATTAGGTGTTGAGTAAATGAAGAGAACAAATTTATTACTCAACAATCAGTTGATGTGAGTTAAAGTGGCTATATGTTGGAGAGAATAATAAATTTTATGTCGGTGAGAATAATAAATTTTAAAAAGTAATCATGTGATTATAAATTTTATTTACATATGAAATAAATGGTTCGTAGATATAAATGTGAGGTTGTTTTAACAAAATATAAACTTGTGGATCATTTTTTGTATTAAAAATATCTCAAGTCATGATATGGAATTCTCATATCATGGTTTTTGGAGAATATGAAATCACATCTCATGATATGGAATCACGAGATGAAATCAGCGTAAGATCACATGTCCAAACACTAATCTCATCTCACGATTTCATACCGTGATATGGTATCGCATGACCAAACGCCTACTAAGAATATCCTTCTTTGTCTCAACTCAGTTTCTTTTCTGGCATTGTTTCCCTTATATATTTCTTGTGTCCTCAATACAAAGGAAGACATCACTATTTATAGGGAATATGATGATTATGAGTAGTAAATTGGGTAAATTAATTACTTATAGGTTACAAGAGTTACAGGATATAAAGATAGAATAATGGATGAAATGAAGAGTTGGTGGATAGAAGAGTACTAATCACTAATGACCACATTCTACCACAATTGATGAGAGTAGAGATGAATAAAAGTAATGTCCACACAATGGACATAACATGATACATAATGTGACATATGATACATTTTTATTAGGCATAATACATAAACATGACCCTTAACTTGGCTTCAACTAACGACTATGCCCTCCAACTTTGACTATGCACAAGTAGACACTTAAACTTGTACAAAATTGAACAAGTAGACACAAGTGTCTTACATGGCACAATACACGTAGGACGCCATGTAGGACACAAAATTGCCATGTAGGGTGCCATGTAGGACGAATGTGTCTATTTGCTCAATTTTATACAAGTTTAAGTGCCTACTTGTGCACACCCAAAGTTAAAGGTCATAGTTGTCAACTGACGTCAAGTTAAGGGTCATGTTTATGCATTATGCCTTTTTATTAATATTAAAATGTCACAATAGCAGTAAGTATATATATATATATATATATATATATATATATATATATATTGAAAACTTAACCAAAGCTGAAAATTTACAATTAGCTGTTTAAAATAATTAATTATTAAATATATAAAATATGCCCCTTATTTGTTTTTTGGGTCATATTTAAAAAAAATATTATTTGTAGTTATTGGATTTTATTAATCATTACATGTATGTTTTCATAACATTTTAATCATTCTAACATATGTATAAACTAGATAATGGTGCCCGTGCTATGCACGAGTCCAATAATATAAATGGTATGTTTTGGGGCTAATAACGAAGTTTTTGAAGTGATTGTTTGCGTGGATAAATGAATAAGTTTTTTTTATCACAAACCTATACTTTCTTTGACACTATTAAAATGGACCCAATATATGTTATTTTTGTTGTCTCAATTTATGTGACACAAATAAAATTTGGAGAGTCATCCAAATTTTCATCTTTTTAAAAAAAAAATGTTTTAAGTTATTAATTATTGTGATTTATAATATTTTTATGTAACTTTCAAATAACCTACATTACTGGTCACTTTGTCCTAATTTATGTGATATGGATAAAATTACAAAATTAACCCTTTTAAAATGTCTTTTAGATATTTTAAGTTGTTAATTATTATTATTTATAATACTTTTTTGATAATTTTAAAATGATATGTGTTATTTTTTCTGTCCCAATATATGTGAGCCTGATAGAATTCTAATAGTGAACCTATTTTATTATATAGCTTTTAAATATTTTAATTTGGTAATTATTGTAATTTTTAATGTTTTTTAAGTCATTTGTAAATGATATATGTTGCTTCCTTTGTCGCATTTTATATAGTATAAATAAAATTCCCAAAACCAACTCAATTTTTAATATATATTTTTAAATATTTTTAATTATTAATTATTGCGATTTATAATATTAAAAAAAATTAAATAGAAAATGTACAAAACTTGTATCAGCCTTAAAAATGACCACGATAATTCGAAGCCTACAGAAAGCAATAAGGTTGTACGTAATTTTAAATACTTAATATATATTACTCCGTTTGTCTCAATGTATGTAGCATAGATAAAATTTCAAGAGTCAATCAAATCTTGTTAATTGTTAAGATTTACAATACATTTTATGTAGTTTTCAATAATTTCACATTAAATAATACATATTACTACTTTTGTCTCATTTTATGTGACATTGATAGATTAATTTTAAGAATCGATCAATTTCTTTTTTTGTGTTTTTTTAATAAATATTTTAAGTTGTCAATTATCACGATTTATTATATTTTATACATAATTTGTAACGATAGATTAATTTCAAGAATCAATCGAATTTTTTTATATGCTTTTATTTTTGAAATATTTTATGTTGTCAATTATCATGATTTATAGTATTTTTACGATAGATTCACTTCAAGAATCAGTGGAATTTTTTGTATTTTTTTCAAAACATATTTTATGTTGTCAATTATCATGATTTATAGTATTTATACGCAATTTTTAAATATTAAAACACACAAAAAAAAAAGACAAATAAATTAAAATGGACCCAATATATGTTATTTTTGTTGTCTCAATTTATGTGACACAAATAAAATTTGGAGAGTCATCGAAATTTTCATATTTAAAAAAAAAATGTTTTAAGTTATTAATTATTGTGATTAATGGTGTTAAATTGTCCAATAATATAAATTTTAAAGGTACAACCATAAAAGAAGAATGTACAACACTATCTAAGCACATGTAACACTTG